TTCTAGAATAGGTGTAATTTTAGTCAAATATATACAAATCCATCCTAAGAAATCGATTAAAACTAGTGCCAAGTCGTGCAGCCTACGCGCTACAGAGCTAGAAGCTGGTAAAGTAGCTAATTCGAACACGTTTCACTCACGAAAACAAAAAGACACAGACCACCTAGCTGCTTACTAAGAAAGAGCTTAGTAAGAAGCTTACTAAGAATGCCGCTAGAAAGCGACACTATACGAGTTAATACTCAAGAAAATAGACAGGAAAGCCTAGGTCTAGAGGCTCAAATCGACAGAGAAATGGACGTAGAGTCCCCACCAGCCACGCCCACCCAACCAGCCAGCCAAGCTAGCTTATTTGAGCTGCCAATACTACCACCAAACAAACGGCAAGCCAACTTCTCACCAGAAATATCCCAGCCAGCCCGAAACCTATTCCCAAGCCAAAGCAATCAAAAGCCAACAGCTAAGAACGCGCAACAAGCAATTTAGTGGGCTAGAGACCTTATACTCCAGGCCTCTATAATGGCAGATTCCTACGTAGCTCAAAATAAGCTACTAGAGCTACTCGACGTCTTTAGAGACTATACTGAAATAGGCAGAGTAGCCAACCAATTCACAGAAAAGCTATCTGCCAAGCTAGCTTACCACTCAGCTACTCTAGCAAGCGCCTCACAATAGGCAACAAAAACGCTTAAGCAAGCTATAACAGCAGCTTCTAAAGCTCAGCTAACAGCCCAGCTAGCTTAAAAGCCAGCCCCAACCTCGTACGCTGCAATTGCAGCAAATAACTTAAACTAAGCCTGGACAACAGTACAGCTAAAGAAGAAGCCAGCAAAAACGACAAAACCAGCGCCCTACTACTAGATGCTACTAACACTAGCAGAAGGCTAACTAGCTAGCCCACTACTAGTTAGAAACAAAATCAACCAAGCCTTTCAAAAAGCTGGCATTAAAGGCCCAGTAGTTAAAGAAATTTGGACTACTAAGAAAAACAACCTTATCCTTACTACAATAGAGGGATACTTAGGAGACTTTCTACTTTAACAAATTAACGTCTGGGAGAGCCAGTTTGAAGTTAAGAAAGCACAGCTAATAGAAAATTGGTTAAAGCTAGTAGTACACGGAGTACTAACCACGTTCGACGGCGCTGAAAATCTTTAGCTACTCTATACAGAAATCCTAACGTACAATAAAAACTAAACGATTGTAGGGAACCCCTTCTGGCTAACTAAAAGCTGGAAAAACAAACAAGCAGGCTTAATAGTTATTGCTTTCAAATCAGAAGAAGAAGCGAAGAAGATTGGTGATAGAATTACAATTCTCGGCTAATCTCTTCGGGTTGAGAAATACTGCTAAATCCCACTAACTGCGCAATGCAGTAAGTGCTAAGGATTTGGACACAACGCTAGCAGGTGTAGAAACCTAGCTAGCTGCCAGCTCTGTGCCGAAAATCACTTAACTACGCAGCACTACTGTAGTATTTGTAAGGTAAAAGGAAAGGCGTGTAACCACACGCTACTAAAATGCAAAAACTGCAAAAATACTCACTTTGCTAACAGCAGAGACTGCGAGGTTCTTCTATCTATTAAATAATGGTAGAAAACCTTAAAGTACTATAAGTAAACTTAGATAAAAGCCTACACGCTATAGAGTCAACGCTACAACTAGCAATCGAGCTTAAAGTTGATATTATTGCAATCCAAGAGCCGTGGATTGCACCTTTAGATAGCAATAACTACGAAGCCCCAAGGTTAATAGCCCACCAAAGCTTCTACCAAATCCTTCCAAAAGCAGATCCAAGCCTCCGCCTAAGAGCTCTATTTTATATTTCTAGATCTCTAACAGCAGAGGTTAGCCAGCTAGAGGAGATAGCTGACCCCGACGCTATTGCCATCACGATCTAAGAAGGACGCTTAAAGCTTAATATCTACAACGTGTACAACTAAAAAAACAAAGAAAATATAAAAACCTTTACAAGAATACTTAAAAATACACAGCTTCTAACATCTACTATACTAGTAATAGACGCCAACGAGCACTACCCTTAGTGGGACCCAGGCTGCAAAAAAACTAGCTAAGGCGGCCAGCCACTAGCCGATTGGATAGAAGACCAGAACCTTAGCCTCCTTAATACGCCAGGAGCTACTACTTTCTTTAGACCTAATATGTCTAGAGAAACAACGCTAGATCTAACTATCGCTACACTAGATCTAGTAGACAAAGTAGAAGACTGGCAAACTACTACAGAAACTGGATCTGATTATCACGGGATACTCTTCTTAATACAGACAACAAGAGACCTAGTTAACAACTCTACTAGCCAAATAAGATATAATACAAAAAGAGTAGACTAGGATCTATTTAGAGAGGAGCTAGCTAGAGCTATACAGAACAGCGTAGCTCTATAAGCCCTAGATTAGATCGAACAACCACGAAAAGTAGATTTAAGAAACCTACTCCTAGGCCAAGACAATCAGCTTAAACTGCAGCTAGACGCAATTGGACACGCTATTACGCTAGTAATCCAACAAGCTGCAGACAAAGCTATCCTACAGCTAAAGCAAGGGCTAAAAGCAAAGCCCTGGTGGAGCTAGGAGTTAACTAAGCTAAGAAAAAACGTATCTTACTGCCAAAGAACATTCTCGCAACAGCTTTAAGCTACGTCTATAGAAGAAGCGTTCCTATATAAGAAGGACTTCTTACTAGCGCGAAATACCTACTAAACAGCAATTAAGAAAGCAAAAAGAGACCACTGGAATAACTTCCTTGAAAAAGAAGACTCATAATCTATCTTTAAAGCTATGGACTATATAAAGGATAAGAGAGTAGAAAGAATCCCTTCTATACAAGGAGAGACGCTAGAAACCTCTTTTAAAGGCAAGTGTAAAGCATTTCGAAAAGCTTTATTTCCTCCGCTACCACGTATAGTACCACCAAGCTTCAATAATTACTAAGAGAAAGAGTGGGAGTGGCCAGCGCTATCAGCAACTAAGCTAGAATACGCGTGTTCTAGTAAGGTCAAAAGTAGCTCACCCGGCCCAGACGCTTTATCACAGGAAGTTATCACAGCAGCCTACCAAGCTCAGCCAAACACGTTTTTTAAAGCTTACTCTCTACTATTCAACTACGGATACCATCCAACGTGTTGGAGGAGAGCTACAGGAGCAATTTTAAAGAAAGTATCTAAACCAGACTATTCCATCCCAAAGGCCTATAGAGTAATTACTCTACTAAGCTGCCTAGAGAAAGTAGTAGAACGGATAATAGCTAAAAGACTCGGCTACCTAGCCAAGACTACAAACCTCCTACACGACTCGCAGATAGGAGGTAGAGTAAAGAAATCAGCTATAGATGCAGCTCTACTTCTTGTAGATCAAATCCAGCATCAAAAACAACGCGGCTATATTACATCAATAGTCTTTCTAGACGTAAAAGGAGCGTTCGATCACGTATCGCACAACTAGTTCCTAGGCACGCTAAAAAGACTAGGCCTACCAACCAGCCTAATTACTTAGGCTAAAACCTTTCTATCTAATAGATCTCTAAGGCTCGCCTTTGACGGCCAAATAGAAGACTTTAGCGAGATTAACGCGGGCATCCTACAAGGCAGCCCAGTATCTCCAATCTTCTTTCTTATCTATATTAGAGATCTATTCCCCCAAATAGATGGATTTCAGCTCTTCTACATCGACAATATCTCTATTACAACCTCCTCAACGTCTATTAAGAAAAACGTTAAGATACTACAACAGGAGGTTAAGAAACTAGTTACTAAAGGAAAAGAACTAGCTATCGAATTCGATATAGCGAAAATAGAGCTTATCCACTTTATAAGGAAAAAAGAAAGAAAAGAAATACCTCTAGAGCTCCCTAGTAAGGAGAAAATCTACCATAAAGATACAATTAAGTGGCTAGGGGTCTACCTTGACAATAAGCTATCTTTTCGAGAATACGTAGCTATTCGAGCTAGCGAGGCAAAAATAGCTTTTAATAGACTAGGGAGACTAGCGAATATAGACCGCGGTCTATCTCCCTTTGCTATTAGACAACTATATCTAGTATGCGTTACTAGCATTGCAGATTATAAGTCGCCAATCTATTAGCGCAACCAGAGCTTTATTAGAGATCAGCTTTAGCCGCTACACAACGCGGCTTGTAGAAAGGTACTAGGAGTGTTTAAAACAGCTCCAGCTATCCCTACGAGTATTGAAGCTAGCTTACCGTCACCAGAAATACGGCTAAGCTAAACTAATTAAAAATACGCACTGTAAGCTATATAACTAGCTCACACCCACCTAATTACAAAAGCTATTAAAAGACTATAAAAAACAACCCTTCAACAATCAAAACAGCTAAATAAGACAAGACAACTACGCGCCATCACGAGCTCCATCCCATCTACTCAAGAGATAGAAGAGATCATCCCATATCGGTTCAGACTATAGGATTCTCTTAACTATACTATCTCTATATCAAAGAAATCTAAAGAAGAAGAGGCAATCGCGCATAAAGATTATATCTAAACAATAGAGAATAACTCTATAGTAATCTACTCAGACGTATCTAAAACTAAAGACGGAGATAGAATAGGAGTAGGCGTAGTAGCTTATAACCTAAACTAAGAAGAAATATACGCAGCGACAAGTAATATAGGCGAGCAGCAGCTAGTCTATAATGGAGAGCTAGAAGGCATTACAACAGCGTTTGAATTCGCTGCTAAAACTACTCAAAAAGGCCAAAATATCCACGTTTACGCTAATAACCAAGCTGCAATCTATAGGCTCTAGAGTCTATTAGATAAGCCCGGCCAGCAGTAGGTAATTCGGTGCCAAAAAGCAGCCAAAGCTATCTATAATAAAAAAGCGAAGATCTTCTTAAAACGGGCTCCTGGCCACACAGATATAGAAGGAAACGAAAAAGTAGACTCCTTAGCAAAGGAAGCTACAAAACAAACACCAAAAAAATTATAAACAAGCCTAGCCTTCCTAGGCACAAAAATTAAACTCCTCCAACGAGCTAGCCAAGCAGAAGAGTGGAAAGTATATAGAGAAAAAGTAAGAGAAAAGAAGACTAGCTACGGAGCTATCTTTACGCTAAGGCTTAAAAACTAACTAGCAATCCCTAGAGGCACGAAAAGAGAGATTTCAAGCTCTTTCTACTTGTTACACGGGGTAAGGGTCTATACTTCTCTATCCTGGTCCGCACTAAGGCAGGTGAGTATTACGTTAGTGTTCCGTGAGGCTTGTCTGGCGATGCAGTGGAGTTGGCGTGCTTAAGGAGGGTTTGACAAGACTAATCTATTTGATAGACTAACTTGTGACAATCTTGTTAAGTAAAGATACTAGTAAGAAAGTACAATTTGAGTTGACCACAACGAGAGTAAATAATGAAATCCATCCATCCTTATATCCTCATTGCTTCTTGTCCTGTCCTCCCGACATCCCATCTTGGCGGGAGGTTTGGGAGGACGTTGGCTTCCCTTTATGCGGTGGCCTCCCGGAGGCCATGCCTTGGCGGGATGCCAAGTCACGTGATCGACGCCCCGCGTTGATCATTACCTTCTGACGTGGA